AAGGAGTATTGGAAGAAATAATGGCTGAAACTGCTGGCCCAGCAATAGCAGGCTATCCTTTGACAACTGAATGCTTAAACAGCCTGGTACATGGGTACTGTGGAATACCACCCACCCAGAAAATGGAAAGAATTCTTTTTTTTCTTGTTTAGTTTTTATTTTTATTTATTTTATGTTTTTACCTGTATAATGTGTATATATTTTTATTTTCTCTAAGTTCTATGTTTTACACTGCATTCTGTTGCTTATTTTATTTATTTTTCCTTTTTAGTGAATTTATTGGGTGACCCTCGTTCACAAAATTATACAGGTTTCAGGTACACAATTGCATAGCACATTATCCATACACTGTGTTGCATGTTCACCACCCCAAGTCAAGTCTCTGCCCATCACTATTTATCCCCCTGGGCCCTCTTCCTCTTGATACACGTAATGACCTGGATGAATCTCCAGAGAATTATACAATGTTAAAAAAACCAATCCAAAAAGATTGCATACCATATGATTCCATTTATATAACACTCTTGGAATGATGGAATTATAAACAGGGAACAGATTGAGGAGAAGTACAGGGTAGGGTGAGAGGCAGTTATGGCTGTAAAAACTAGCGTAAGGGGTCCTTGTGATGAAATTGTTCTGTGTCATGACAGTACTTACCTGACTACACAGGTGATAACATTGCATAGATCTAAATACATACATGTATACATGTAAAACTGGTAAATCTGAATAATGATGGATTATTATCACTAATGGATTATATCAGTGTCAGATTCCTAGTTGGGACATTGTTCTGAATGTGGCAGATGTTACTATTGAGAAACACTAGATGAAAGGCATATGGGATCTCATTGACTTGTTTCTTACGGCACGTGAATCTATAGTTATATCAAAAAAAAAGGAAAGTTTTATGGCAATAAAAAGTCCACATATATACTATGTCTAAAGATATAATTTATTTAGACTTTTTATTTAGACAGTTGTGTGAATATTTTGGTTTTTGTGTTTTCAGTGTTATAAATAGTATTATGATGACCAAAAAAAAAAAAAAAAAAAGGAAAGTTAAGAAAATATGTACAAATTATTTCAAATCAAAAACCTACATTGAGAAATGAAAAAAATGGAACAAAGATGAAGGTCAAACTCTCTAAGTGATAAAAAATATAGCTTCTGAATATATTAGTTTGAAATTATTTACGAAATAGTATAATACTGTTAATTAGTATTGTATTATGAATTGCTTATATGTAATCTTTTTATTTTATTATTATTTTCTAAAAAAGCAAGTCACAGAATAATATACATGGTGGGCAAAAGTAGGCCCACGGTTGTGAGTACATGAAACACAGAGTTTACTCTTGTATTATTTTTTATTAATTATTGTATTATTTGGCTTCTTCTGTAAACTTACTTTTGCCCACTTCATATAGTATATTATTTCTTGTGTTTTATTTTTTTCTTTATTTTTATTGTTGACACTATCACAGACAAATGTCCCATTCCCCGCCCTTTCCCCACCTCTACCCAGCCCCCAGCCCCGCTTTCCTCTGGCCATCACCACACTGTTGTCTGTGCCTGTGGGTCATGCGTGTATGTTCTCTGGCTGATCCCTCCACATTCTTTCATCCAGTTCTCCCCTCCTTCCCTTCTGACAGCTGTCAGTCTGTTCCATGTGTTTATGCCTCTGTTTCTATTCTGTTTGTCAGTTTAGTTTGTTCTTAGTTTGTGTGTAATCTTAAGTTGATTACTTAAGCATTCCAGGTATATAAATAGTAACGTTAGTTCTTTGCCCATTCCAGTTGATTCTATTTTTGTAATAGGCCCTCTGGGACCTGAGTTCACATGTCTTTGGCTGGTTTCAGAGAATCACTCCAGTGGCTGTTAATCCAGACACTGAAGTCCTATGGAGTTAGGCTTGAACCCTGGGTATTTCATTTATTTGTAAAATTATGTAACCTCTTCATCCTTCCATTTCCTCACATATGAAGTGGGGGAAATAGCACCTACTTCACTGTGCAATTAAGGAGAATAAATGAGATCCTGTGAATATAAAGGACCCAGGACTGTTTCTTCCACAAAATAAATGGCTCAGGAACCAAACAGAATGATCAAAGTACCTTCATAAAACAAAGTCCTCCCTGGTGGCTGCATGTATTGTTTTGCTCAGAAGAGCTGGCTTCCCCTGGCATGTGAAACTTTCCTGAAGTTCTGTCACCACACAGTGCTTTTAGTTCCCAGCATTCTTCTGGCCTCCCACATTGACACTTCTGAACCAGAGTACCGTTAGCAATTGCTGTTTCCTTGGCGTAATACCTTTTTTTCCGCACTTGTTTATAACTATAGTACATACTTTCTTTCGTGTACTTGAAGATATCCTCAAATTCCTAGTTTTATTTATTTAGATGAGGATCCATGAAGCATTCGGTTAGAAAATACAATTTTTAATTGAATTTATTACATATCAGCTTGGTGGCTTAGAGAGTGAATATATATACATATATATACACATATATATGTATATATATACATATATATACACATATATATGTATATATATACACCAAAAATTAGAACATCATGACTAAAACAAGTAAAAGATTTTGTTTCATGCATATATTGACATAGACAAGCAACATCTGTGTATATATTTATTTTTACTTTACAAATGATAAAATTAACTTGTTAAAAATTTACATGATCTGAAATTGCATTTTTAAACAGATACTCTCTTCATTTACTAATAAAGAACTCTGTGCATATGCAAAAGCTGGAGCAGTAGCTGAGGAGGTCTTAGCAGCAATTCGAACTGTGATTGCATTTGGAGGACAAAAGAAAGAGCTTGAAAGGTTTGAATCTCTTTTTTTAAGTTGAGAGAAATGTTCAATTCTATATCACCTTTTATGCCCCTCAGGTTAACAGTGTTGATTATAAGGGTTTTCTCTAAAATATATGTTTCTTTAAATAGCTTCATCCATGTTACAGCATACCTAATATTCTGGGGAAGTTGTTATTCTGGTTGTACTCTTTCTTTTTTTGTCAATGTCATTTGACAAAAACAATTGTCATTGTTTTTTTAACCATTTTAAAATTTTTAAATCACTGTTCACTTTCAGTATTATTCTGTATTCGTTTCAGGTATACAGCATAGTGGTTAGACAGTTATATACTTCACAAGGTGTTCCCCTTCCTCCCTGCTGATATTTCAAGTAAACACCTCATCCTTAGTTATTACAATATTACTGACTGTATTCCCTATGCTGTAATTTACATCCCTGTGACTATTCTGTAACTACCGATTTGTACTTCGTAGTCCCTTCGCCTTTCTCACCCAGGCCCTAACCCCTCTCCAGGCGGCAACCATCAGTCTGTTCTCTGTATCTGTAAGTCTGTCCTTACATAAGCTAATTTAAAGCATTTTCTAGCTTCATAGGTAGGTAGTGACATAAAATAGTTTCTTCAGGCTGAGACATATTTTATATCCCTGATGATAATTTTTTTCCATCCAATAGATTTCTTATTTATTTATTTGATATAACTGACATATAACATCCTTGACTGTCTAAGACTGAATGAGTATGTTGTGTAAGATCTACGGGGATGTGTTAGTCTGAGGTTTGTAAGCCCTGGTGTCCAGCCCCTAATCAGTGGTTATGCTTCATGACGTGGAAGACAAAAATATAACTAAAAAGCACATTTGTACAAACTCTCAAAATCTTTTTTACTATGTTGTTTAATAATTTTCTTGCATCTATTCCCTCTTACTAGATTTCTGAGAGTATGAGGTAATTTATTGAAATTTATAGTATTAGGCTCATTGATTTCTGAGCGGCAGCAGAATTTACTTAAAGTAATGTCTGTTACAGTATTTTAGGTTAGGAATATATATATTTTTGAAATTAGGAAAAACTAAACTCCATTGATTGGGAGATTGTAATTGTTTGGTAAAGCCACAAGAAAATCACAGGAAGTTTTGTAAATCAGAGGAAAGGTCACATCTCCAGGAGGTGAGGAGCTGTGGGTACAAGTGTGACAGAGAGCAGGGGTCTGTGGGCCTGGCAGTGTTTTGCTTCTTGGCCTCAGTTGTGTTTACATGGTTGTTCACTTATAAGTATTCTTTAAACTGTACAGATGTGTTTGGAGAACTCTTTTGTTCATATGATATATTTTACCCCACAAAGATGTCCTCTGAGAATTATTTGTGATGATGTAGTGCAATAGTCCAAAAGAAAGACCTATCTCAATTGTTTGCTAAGGTTTCGCTTTTCTCTTCAAATATGTCTTGACTACTAACCTGAGCCGTCTTCCTTGTGACCAGGCAAACATCCAGTCACAAACCCCGCCCCCCGCCCCCGCGCCCGCCCCCGCCCGGAGCTTAAATGCTAACAAGGGCAGAGGAAGGATACAAGGCAACTACGAACAACCAAATACCTCATATACCAGTTGGGGGAAATAGTATCAGGAAATAAAATACTTTTTTAGAGTCATAGAGGGTTCTATGCAGAGATATTATTCAGAAAATCCTTTCTAGTTAGTTGATGCTTCAGCAGACACAGAATGAAGTTTTGAACTTGGGATTCTTTCCAGTTTTCCTCAGTGGAAAGGTGGACCAGAAAAATGGTACGTCTACCAGCAAAGGGAGACAAAGTTCATCTGCATCTGCCTGGTTTTTGAGCTGGGGAAAGCATCTCCCCACAGAAGGCAAAATCTCAGGCCCACACCTCACGTGCAGTAAGGCTCTGAATTTATAGTACTCTGCAGGCCAAGGAAACAAAGAGTTAGAATAGTGAAATAAAAGAAAGAAAGGCAATAATGGTTGGAAAATAAGAAGCAAAATTTTCATTATTCACAGATGCTATTATTGTATGTATAGAAATTCCTGTAGACTTTGCAGACTAACTATGTAAAGAAAGTTCTGAGTACCTGATCACAATTCATCATATTTGGCATTGAGATAAATCCTACAGTCAGTGCCTTCTTACAGTTGCTATGGATCTGGATTGAAGGAGATTCTTCCCGGCAGGATTTGGGTTTGTCTCTTCACTGCGGGCACTTCCAGTTTGTTCTTCCCCCTCCCTTCTCTGCTTCCAAATAGACAAGTAACTTAAGTTCTCAGTCTTGCTCTTCAGATTAGCAGGTGCAGGAGGAAACTGGCTCTCTTAAAATGGAAATTAAACAGAATTTAAAATGAATTTAATTAATAATAGAGAATTGTTTTATTCTCCTTAATTAAAAATTTTTTTCTCTGCATGTCTTGCAAGTGTTTACCTATTAGTATTGATTTCTGTTTGCTTAATTAAAATTGTTCCTTGCTCTTGTAAATGGCTATTGCATCATTGATAAATATTTTTATAACATTTAAGAAGAATAATTTTTTTCTAAATATCAGTATTTTTGTTATGTGACTTTCATCCATTTTAGGAACTGCTGCTTTAATTACCATTTTCATACTAATGATTTCAGTGGATGGATGATTTTAGTAGCTGATTTTGTATTGTGATATTTTTATTGAAATGCTAATCAAAAAGTAAAAGGAGTATTGTTTATGTCTCCTCCCTCCTTACCATTTCTTTTCTTCATTTATCTTTTCTGGCATCTAAATGATTTTCTTCCTTGTTGCTTCTTCCTGTGCAAATGTTTCCTCTGGCTGCATGTGGCAACAACTTATCAGTGAAATGATTTCTACATTAGTTTCGGTAAGCAAGAACTGAAATAAAGGAGATAACAGGGTATGAGTCATAACTGTTAAAGTTCCTTTAATGTAATCATGTGTAATTTATGCCTAGTAGCACTTTTCACCTCAGATCAGCTCATGAAGTGGAAGATACACACACACACACACACACACACGCACACACGCACACACGCACGCACACATACTTGTATATATAAAAACCATTGAAACATGTTTCTCAAAAACAATATTTTTTGTTCAAAGATTATATCTGGCAAGTAGGGGATTGACATTTTTGGAGGAGGAAACTAATAATAGGTTACTATTTTATCACTATAAAGTTCTGTTTAAATTTGAACTTTGGTGAATATGGGGGTCATGTAAATTTCATTTGGCATACTTTCATAACTGGTGAAGTAACTAATTAAAAAAGTCATGAAGGCAAGAAAGAATGCATGCTCATATAATATTTATATAGTCATGTTTTTGTGGATTGAAGACCTCTTAAGTATGAATTCTGTGTGGAACTGAGTTCTTTTATTTCAACAGCTGTGAATGCTTTTCTATAAGGCAGTGTTCTAAATTCGGCAGGGAGCTGTGATTAACAGGATAAAGACAGATTTAAAGCTTAATTATAATCTGGACTATTTCCCTAATAGTCAGTAATATTACCTTGATTGTGTATTTCCAAGGGTCCTTCTTGGTCTTTAAATCTGGCTCTCCACATCTCCCTTCTTGAGCTAAATAGTCTGCTATGTCCCTTTCAAACAAAGATAAAGTTACAGACACCCATCTCCTTTAACTTTAACATCAAAAATTAACTGCTCTCCAAGAATTTAAAAAGTACTGGAATTAACATTTGGGAGTGAGCTTTAAGTCAGGGAGAAAACGTGGCAGGGGACTCCAACACTGTTTCTGTTTTTGGTTTGCTTACTTGCTTTTGCCCTCATTTGTGTAGTTTGAAGTGCTATGTAATATTCTTTACATTGAAAAAAAACTGAAAAGTTTATCTTATTTCCATAGATGTTTATTTTAAAAATCACTGACTTGAAATTGAAATATGCTGATTTAGCTGTATTTTCTTTGAGAAGTGTTAATGGGTATTCTCCCAAGTCTGGCTAATATAGCGGAGACAGTTGTGCTGTAAACAGGTTACAGGGTTCTAGATGGGCTGAGATTTTTATTTTCCTGGTCCTTGAGGGAGCCTCGGATGGCCTGAGCACCCTGGCCAGAGCCCCGCCTCCAGCGGTGGGCAGCCATGACCTGGCGTGTCAGGAGGCACTGACACGGGATAGGATGTGGGCGATGTGTAGAAAGACTAAGGAAGGGCACTCTAATACGTGATGAAGGACTATTATATATTTTTAAGCCCAGTCATTTTTTCAGGTCAGTGAATTTTTTAAATGAATGTTTATGGAAATTAGAGAAACTATACAGTGTGTTTAAATATTAAATGTATTGTATGACTTCACAATTCATAGCTCTCAAATATACATGAGCCAGTCAGACTAAAAAATGTCTGGGGGCTGTGCTAGAAATAAATGACAAAGGTTTACTCAAGGGTCTTCGAGTATGCAAACTAGAAGCACAGCTAGGCAAAAACCCAGAAGTGTTCCAAAGAGGAAAGAAAAGTTGAGTTCTTATAATAAAAGTCACATCCTTGAGAATAATCAGCCATGCATTCTTAGCCCTAGGATTGGTCCAGAATAGTTATCAGTCATGGTCTGGATGAGGGGTGCCAGGGGGCGTGGAGGGTGGGCACTGGGAGTCGGATCATGTCCTGAGTTCTTTAGGGGGCAGGCGGAGGGTTATCTACAGGTAAATAAATGTCTGGGCATTGATGAAAGACTGGAAAGTTCAAAACTTTGTTTCCCAGCTAGTTAAAGCAAGAGTAGAAACGTTTTCTCATGCCTCAGCCTTCTTGATTTGAACAATTTAGCAGCTTGACTGTGAGGACTCCATTTTATTTCTTCACTTTTTTACTCGCTGGTATTCTTTCAGTCGGTCCTTCCAGTGGTCCCAGAGGGATGCAGGATGGGACACAAATTGTCCCCAAAGCTTCTGTAATGTCTGAGACATAAAGGACTTATGTTGAACCCTCTCTAGCATTATATCTTCATTTTATTAATAAATTTAAAAAGCATACAGATTTTAAAGGGAAAGCACAGTGTTCGTAGTGTCTCTCTTGTCTTGTGTACGAAACAATGCTACTTCTAAAAGTTTGCTAAATATTACTCCACTTACCTCGCTATTGCTAAGGCCAGAGAAGAGGCTTGTAGAAGACTCCCCCACAAATTACTTTACCTCTATAAGCCTCAGTTTCCTTTTCTAAATAGTACTAACATCATAGGGTCAATGTATGGACAAAAGGAGAAAATATGTATAAAACACCTCTACAGGGCTGGGCACTTTCTGAGTCCTCAATAAGCATCATGCTGTCTTGACCTATTTTATAAGATTTATAAGTATATGTGATAATTTTTTGTTATTCCTCCCAGGTACAACAAAAACTTAGAAGAAGCTAAAAGACTTGGCATAAGGAAAGCTGTTACGGCCAACATTTCTATGGGTGCTGCTTTCCTGCTGATCTATGCATCGTATGCTCTAGCTTTCTGGTATGGGACCAGCTTGGTCCTCTCAGAAGAATATACTATTGGACAACTACTCACTGTAAGTGATGTTGTATTAAGAAAAGATTCACTGTTGAAAATGCCAATGAAATTGCAGTGTGGTGTTGGCCCGCCTGTTGGAGAACACATTCTGAAGAATGATTAAGTCACACAAAGAGACACACACTACTAGGTTAAAAAGTGGAAAGGAAATGAGATGTATTCAACAATGAGTTTTGTCTTTTTTGTAATCCTCCTTTGCGTAGTCTGTCCTCTGGTCTAAATGATAAAAACATCACCATTCTCTGTAGTATGAACTTTTGATTGGCTGAGATTATTTCATTGTGTCAGACACTATGCTAAGCACTTTACTTTTATTTCCTGCTTTGCTGTTCATAACAACAAATGGCAAAATACACTTTAACTTATTTTCAAAATCTTTTGAATGACAGCTAATATACCTCACCAATTTATAGAAGTACAAAGTGTTACTCTTTCTAAACAAATATGCTATTTGGAGGTTCTCTGCCTTATATATCTTTGTACAAGTATAGAAGGCTCGCCATTTGATGCTATCCTTTTGTAGTGAAAGACAATGAAATAATGCACTAACCAAGCTCTATTTGCATCTTTTTTTTTTAAACCCTCACTTGAGGATATGTCTATTGATTTTTAGAGAGAGAGGAAGGGGAAGAGGGAGAGAAACATCGGTTGGTTGGTTGCCTCCTGTAAGTGCCCCAACCTGGGATTCCACATCCTAGGTATATTCCCTGACCAGGGAATCGAACCCACAACCTTTTGTTGTATGGGACGATGCTCCAACCAACTGAGCCACCTGGTCGGGGCTCAGTCTGCATCTTGATCTAATAAAGCACATATTGTTAGAAGTGTCACTCAGTTTCTTTTTCATAGGCCAAGTATAAATATATTCAGTTAATGACAGACCAAATTTTGTTGAGTCCCTTGGAACAATTCCCTTTCTCAGGAAACAGGTAATGTGGGTATGATAATTACGTCTCTTGTTTTTTCAGACTGTTGTCTCACCCAAAATATATATGGCTATTTAGTTAAGAATAGTTTTAATCAAAAAGCTTTTAGTAGGATAGTGACACTGTGGATGAACCCAGGTGGTGATAAGAAAAGCATTGTGTGTAATTGTGATGTAGATAAGCAGTTTTAAATCCAGTATTCACTGAACTCACATCTGCCTTCCAAACTGAAAGCATCCAGAATAGTGAATAAGAGCACAGGATTTGATATGAGGCCAACTTAGTTCGAGGCCAACTTAGTTCAAATTCTAGCTGTATGATTTTGGGCAGCCATCTAGATTTTTCAGGCTTTCATACCTCTTTTGCCAAATGGAAATGATAGTACTGTTGTAAGGACTAATTGATAAAATGAATATAGAATCACTTAGCAAAATTCCTTCTATGTAAATTATTGCATACTATAATTACTGTGCAATTTAGAAAGAAATGAATAGTGACATTAGTTCTCTTTAACCCTGAGGAGAAACAAAGTTAGGTATTTATCAATAAGAAATTTATTTAGGCAAAATGAAAAAAAAAACAACCACCCTGTTTATCAGACCTCAAAGAACACAGTTTAGCAGAGGAAAAGACAGCCTGATAAAGAATAATGCCTTAGATGTGTATTCTTTGTAATTTATAAAATATATACACACACACACATATATAAAAGTATATATATATAAAGTATATATGTGTGTGTGTGTGTATGTGTGCGTATATACACACATATATTTATATCATAAAAGGTTGCTGGATAGGAAAACAGAATCTTGCCTATTTTTGCAAACAAAGAAATTGAAGCCCCAAGAGTCTAGAAGAATTGCCTGAAGACACACAGCCAGTTAGTGGTTCATCCAGGATTCAGACCTGGACCTTCTGTGTTTCCTACTAGGGTTTATTTTCACTATTTTCTGCTGATGATCTAAACCAAAATTCTTGACCACTAAAGAAATATTAAAACAGTCTATTGTAATATCCTTATCCTATAGAACTTATACTATTGTTTCAATGAGCAAGTAAGATTAATTTGGCATTCTCAATTAAAAAGTACTTAAACTTTAAAAAATATTTTTAATGCCCAGCATCCATATGTATATTGCCTTGCCATTTTAAAATTTAATCAGTTGTATTAAAGGAAGAAAAAAGTATGAAAAAATTGTATTAGGCACTACTTGAATAATGTGATTGTTCTTCATATTCCTCAGGTCTTCTTTTCTGTATTAATTGGGGCTTTTAGTATTGGACAGACAACTCCAAGCATTGAAGCATTTGCAAATGCAAGAGGTGCAGCTTATGAAGTCTTCAAGATAATTGATCATGTAAGTGTGGGCTGTCTATTTCTACAGCTATTTAAAAGTTTTGCTAGTTAAAAGTAGATTTCTTTATCACTTGT